CTCACCTATCTCGCCCCGTCCAGCTGGCTCGATCCAGAACCCTACCAAGACCCCGACGATTCAACATGGGGTCGAAGAGGAACCATCGGACACGTAGAGCCTCATGACGCTATAGGGCCGCGGCCAGACGAGCAAGGCGAGGAGATGCCCAAGACGGGGAAAAAGAAAAAGTCATGGCATCTGAATAGGAAGATTAGGAAAATGGCCAAGTTGGAGATTGGCGACGCGCTTGAGATGCGGGGGCGCATGATTGTGGTTATGCTTGTAGTGTTGGGTTTGACGTGCGGTATGTTGTGGATGGGTGTCAAGTGGGTTTTTGTCTCGGTATCGGGCATGATGTCTGGCGTAGAAGCGTAATTAGTAGAACGAGATGATCGTTTTCGAATAATAATACGCATGATGCACGAAGCACGAGGAAGTTTTGTTCTATATCTTGAATTGTCTAAATTTGGGCTCTTCCTTCGGAATACCCTAAGAACTGAGGCAAATCACGAGTACGCCAATAGAGGCCGTCATGAGGTCGTTCATCATTAAGATACAGTCGTGAGCGCATTGGTCGTGAATGAAGAATGAAGAAAGAAAAAACGCCAACGCATAAACGAAGACAATGTACAGTCGTCTACAAAGAAGGGTATCGCAGCCTTTTCGACGCCCAGCATAATTTGAGAACCGCCTGACCATGCGCTCAGGGAAGAGAGAAATAGAACACTAGGAAAAAGGAAATAGAAAATGCAACTCTGGGTGTTAATGCCTCAGAGTGAAGAGGCGCGCGACAAGCCGATCGAAGAAATACCCCATGTCGGCATCCTGTCTCCTCTCTTTAGCTTTCTTGATCAGGTAGCTAGATGTATCCTCTCTCTTGATAGCCTCGCGCAGGCTTTGGATAAACACATCTTCGGGTGTGTCCGTCTGATGAGACTGCATTGACTCGCCCTCCCAGTCCGGCCTGAGTCTAGCGTGGCAGCCAGAGAAGCATGCGATGTAGAACTCGAGTAACTCTTTGACACCGTGATCATCGACCTCTACGTTATCTTCAGTAATAGAGGAGCGAGAGGTGTCGTAGTGGGTGTGATACGGCAGCTTCGCGGCGTGGTAGTGGATAGATTCTACTGTCATCATGACAGTAATGAGAACAGCTAAGGCGATAGGCCATTCATCGCAGTTCTTGTTCAAGAGAAGTTGCTCCAGTGATGTGAGTACATCCTTCATCAAGCTTAGAGCAAGACCAGGCATGATCGCACCGAACTGCGAGCGGATGAAGCATGGTGTGGGAGTAAGATCTTCGGGTATGTTCATCGTACTGCGGATGACTTGTTCCATGATGGGGCTCTCAGAGCGTGATGGGAGTGTTATGTCGCCGCCAATGTGGACAAGTAAAAGCAGCTTGAGTGCTTGGTGGAGTATGCGGTAGTGAGAAGATTTCGTTGAGAGGGATCGCGAGAAGACGTAGATGTCGCGAAGGATTCGGAGCGGCGAACAGTATAACGGGAAAGCGCGGAAGTGGTGAGCTACTAGTAGCGACAAGTGGGAGTCGAGGGTTTGCGTTAGTTGGAATTGCGCTTCAGTTGTTAGTACAGCTGGTAGGACGGCATGCTCGTGTGGTGAACCGGTATAAGGCTGTGGCGGCCATGAGTAGATGATATGTTCGTGTACCAGAGGAGCGTCGTCGTTGAGCTGCACAGGATGTACTGAAACTGGGAATGATGGACCAAAGCCGAAGTTCAGCGGAATGGTGTAGGTGATCTCTTTTGAGATTTGGAATTGGCCAGCCGGAACGAAGGACTCCAAGGGTCGTGCGGTTGGATGCCACCCGAGACGGTCAGAAAGGAATGCCGCAGACAGATCAATAAGCGTATGATCCCGACACGGGTGGTTCACAAGATCACCTTTGTAGTGATCAAGACAGGCTCTGCACGGAGTACCAGGGTCGCACTTTTCTTTCCGCCGTTGACAATTGGAGCAAGCGCCAATAATGCGCATCAACGCTGCGTGCTGGCGCTGCTCAGCAGTGAGAGCTCTCTTTCGTCCTTTTAGCGCTCTTCCCGACATACCCTCTGTGCTAGTGGGGGCCAGACGATTGGTCAATGGATTGGGTTGGTAGGATACCCACCCGTAGGCGTCGGACGTAGGAGATGGAGTAGAGGCTTTGCGGCGAGAGAGCGAAGCGCTTCTGGACAGCGCAACACTGCGAGGGTAGCGTGAAGTGCTTGGTGATACCGAGAGCATGGGAGGAGCTCTTCGTGCTGATACAGACGCTGTAGCTCGATTGCTGACGCTCTGTCCACGTGTGGTATCCGGGATAGCAATGGCTCTGCTCCGACTGTGTAGATCATACTCGCCATCTGATCGCCGATAGGATGGCAGCATCGAACTATAGCTCTGTGAGAAAGATTGAGGGATTGGGATAGGTTCGGCTTCTGATCTGCCTCCGTCGTCTTCTGCAATAGGTTCGATGATCCGTGGCTGCTCTGCCCATGTACCAACATTCGAAAACAGCCGGGAGTGTCTCATATCCAGACCACTAAAGTAATGGGATGAGTCCGCAACATGAGGATTGAACACTGTTTCGGCCGTACTCTCAAAAGACCCTGCCGACGAAGTGAAGGACTCTGGGATACGCTCATATCGTGTGTCCAGAATGGGTGAATCGCTGATGGTTCCTAGCGGCGACAGGAGACTGTTGTCGCAGGCACCAAACGATCCGAAGTACTGGCTATCCGCTTGTACGACGAGCGGAGAAGTGGATGTCGTGTCAAAGGACAGCGAGGTGCCATGCACTTGTTCAAACGAGGACTGTCCATCTAGGATTGACGGTGGGGCCGAAACAGTATACTCGAGCGAAGGCGGTTCGTCGGCGATTGAGGGCGGTGCTGAAACCAGATACGCAGGCTCAGATGTATAACTTTCCGATAGTTGGTGGCCTGCAACGTAGCTGCGCTCTTGAGTGCCCGTGTAGTTGGTCTCCCCTTGGAAGAAAGGGTCGTACAATTCGTCGTCCCAGGCAACAAGATCCTGCCAGCTTTCGTTCGGTGAACCCACGTACGGGACATGAGACATGCTTTGAGTCGGCGGTATCGCGCGTTAGGCTGAAGGGTAAAGTGCAAGCGAGAATGGATGAAGACCGTAAGGATCACCCCTTCGCTGAGGGTCTCATGCGGTTAGCGAAGAGAGATGGAAGCGCGGACAAGACTGAATGTCAGAATGTTGCGTTGTAGGGTGGTGTCTGCGTAACATCAATCGATGCCTCCAGGCTGAAAGGTGGCCAAAGTTATATTCCACGCGCAAGCTGGGGCAACATTGGGGTGCTGCGGCTGACTGCGCGGACTTGACTGCCTTGCATCAAAGGCCACCAGGGCAATTGACGAGTAGTCGTCAACGGGCTTATCACGTTGTTGCTGCTTATTAGTCAATGCCTAGAACTTGCCTGTGAACGGCCGCAGGCGGTTGGTACTGGAAACTTTGCGTTGATGGTATGATGTCTTAGGGCTGGTCGGCAGTGCCATCTGACCATGCGCGGGCCTGCAGCATGGTGGCCGGTCAACTCGATCTGTGATAGCCCTGTCACCGTGCTTTGCCGGCTACGTCTCCCCGCTGTATACTATGAAATGGAGCTCGAATCAGAGCTTGCAACGTGAGCACCCTGCGACGTAGTGCCAGCATGTCGGCTTTACCCATTTGCGCGAATTTGGTAGACCATGTCTAAAGAGGCAGGCTTCTGGAAAAGCTCCGCCCCATCGTGGCTGTGGACGATGGGACTAGTTTGATAAACCCCGGCCGTGCGTATGTCTTTCTGTGTACCAGGGCGTTGTTACACATTCTTTCTCTTTGACCTTTCAACGAGGCGGTGGGTGCTACGTCTGTCAGATACCGCTGTGGGGTTTCAGAAGGACCATTGCCTACAGTCGTTGTGCAGAGGCGCCTGGGCAGGCTGGGAATAAAGCCTATGTTTGCCGAGCTGAAGCAACACCTTGACCCTTTTGGGGAGACGTCTGTTGCAACTCTCGCGCGACGGCAAGATTGCCGCGCGGGATGGAAACACCTCGGTTCAGAAGTAGCGTTCTTGGACGCCCTCCCCCCAGACTGTCGTGAACAGACATGCCAGGGTCAAGCGATTATCTAGCCCTTCTAAGTAAACGACATCTCGAATGGACGCGCTATGTATTGCCAAGCGAGAAGCAGCCTGACGTGTTGCCTTGTATGCCGGTCTATCACGGCATGCGACCATCACCGAGCCGTTAGAGGAACTGCGCCTTACGCTGTCCCTGCGCTAGATGCTGCAGTAGTTTGCACTTGTATGCATGCACTCCACTCATACAGATGTGTAGCTAGCGAGCCTCACTCTTCCTTCGTATTTGCGGCTCTGCGCAATCACTTCCCCTTCTGCTCGAGCACGTCGCTGACGTAGACTATCCTCAAGACCATCGATTGCGCAAAAATAACTCAACACTCAACGCGTCTAAGGCGATCCGACCAGAGCCAGTCACTGCGAGAGCTTGTCATCAAAGAACGAATGTGGGGCGCGGACTTGTAGTAATGTTTGCATAATTCATACTGAAGGACCCAACGCCGAGAGGACGGAGTGGGTCCAGCCCAAGGGAATATTAGGGCAGGCGATTTGGCCAAAAGATACCAAAGCAAGCAATACAAACAGATGACGGCCGTAAGAATACGTACATGCGAACAGTAAGATATACGAATGTAGAAAGTACAACAGGAGAAACCAAGCCCAGAACAAGACATGTACAAGTACATGTATACCGAGCCCACCCGAAACAACCGTTGACTTGACGTCGGGTATCATCTAAAAGGAAGAAATATGTGAAGTAGACTGGCATCGTACAGAGCCGATCGCCAAGCTACTCCGAACCTCGACGAGGCTCTTTCCCCCCCAATTTTTGTCAGACATCGATCATGTCGTCGGATCCCTGACTAGGTGTCGGATCAGAACAGGACCACGCGCGCATGCGGATGATGATGTCCAGATCCGGATCCCCGTCTAGTCAGGAAGCCTCGGCGGGAGCGAAGAACAAGACGATCTCGCCTCTGTCGTTCCTTCTGAGGCGCAGATCCTTCCAGAGCTCTTTCTCCTCTTCCGCCTTGGAGGGTGCACGATCGCGCTGCTCGGAACGCTCGCGGTGGTATCGTTTCAGAGCCTTGTTGACACTCATGCCGCGCTCAGAGTCTGGTCCCTTGGTAATGAAGGACATGAAAAGCCCCGCGCGCGCATCGAAGTCTGCCGAGGCGTGTGCGACGTCTCCACTAGGGCGCACAATGAGCTGGCCTTGGCCGTTTGGCTCCGGGGAGTTTGTTTCCGAACGGTGGTACTCAATGGCCTTCATGGGCTTGCGCTCTCGCGGTGCTGGCGACACCGAGGACGAGTATTGGCGGCGGCGGATGCGACGAACCTCTGTGGTAGAATCCTCCCGCTTCTTCTTAGGCCTGATTTTCACAAGAGCAGTGTTGGCTTTGCGCTCCTTACGTTCCTTATTCTCCTTCCGGTCACGATCGCGGCCTCTGTCCTTCTCCTTCTCCTTTTCCTTCTTCTCTGCTTGCTCACGTGCCTTGATGTCAGCCTTGCGCTGCTTTGCTTGTTCTGCCTCGTATTCTCGCTGCGCGCGCATAAGAGCCTTGGAGTTACCCTGCTTAACGCGTTTCATTGGGCTCAAAGGCGAGTTGACGTAGTCACCTGAGTCATCGGGCGAAGGTGGGAACTCAGGGCGGGCAAGGAGTCTGTTCAGTCCTCCAGTAAGACCAGAGTGGAGCATCGCGGGGGCATCGGCCATTGTAGTATCCCTTTCCTCTTGGGCGCGGATCGCCGACATGTCAAGTTCGCTGGGCGAATTGCGCTTGCGCTTGCGATCGGTCTTCTTCGACGTTGTCTCCACATCGGTATCGCCCGATTTTGTCCTGTTGTGCTTCGACTTGGGAGCAGGCGTGGCATACGAGTCGTAACGCTCACGGGAAGGGCGAACTTGCTCAGTCCCGTACGAGAATCCGTTCTGTGCGAAGGACTCGTCGTCGTCGGCTACCTGAAACTTCATAACGTCTGCGATTGCGGGCATGTACTGCTCGTCGTATGCGGGCGGCTGACTGTCTTCCAGCATGCGCGCTTCATCGATGTGCGTCGTTCTCGGAACATTGGGCGTCGAGGAGGGGTCCAGGAAATCGAAGACATTGGGCGCTTCAATCGCGGCCTGCTCATGATAGCCTAGCGAATGCGCCGCTGGCGGAGGAGTGGGCGCGCGAGGCGGGGCATCCACGACTGCGACGGCGTTGCCATCGTCGCGCGCGTCTTCGACGTATGCGTTGTGGGGCGTGAGTGCTTGCGAGTTGTCGTGGTAGGCGCTGTCCCGCTTCTGCTGCGGGCCCTTCTTCTTCTCTTTGTAGAGTTTGCCCTGGTACTTCTGGTCTTCGGTTATGCAGGCCTGTTTCGCGTCTGTCAGCCACTTTGAACAATGAAAAATCGAACACGGCGCAGTGCGCAGTGCTGGCGCAAGTCGTGCAGCAATCGATAGGCGTTGTTTCGAGGCCAGCAGATCGTCATATAGGGCAGGAGAAGCATATGCGTACCGTGTGGGACTTGTAGGAAGTTCCCGGGAAGTGCACCATGCAGTCGAGGCAGGTAAAGGACGCGCCATAGCATTGGTTGCGGTGGCCGTCAAGCTTCTTCTTTGTGAGGACGTCTCCACAGTTCTAAGCCGTCACAGTCAGCATACGGTGCATGTCTACGGCAGGGGCGCATGGTGGGGGAGAGGTAAACATGGGACATGGGGCTCAAGTACCTCGCAGGAGAACGACACCATGGTGGGAATGCGGTTTCGATGGGCAAGGAGCGGTGAACAGCTGGCAGACGGTCAATGGAGGAGAGGATGGAAGAGTCGGTGTGGGGAGGGGGCGCTGCGTCGTTATCACCCCTCGCTGGCCCAGGGAAGGTTTCAGTTGTTTGGGATACAACAAAAGTCGGTATAGCGCTAAGTTGCTTTGGGAACAGGCCCCTGTGACAGTGCGCGCCTCGCGACTCTCCCGAAATACATCAACTGACCGCGCATCGCAGCTGCAGCCCGTTAGCGCCTGCGAATCGCTGCACTTGAGCCACGCGCCCGCCGAACTGGTGGGCTTGGTGGGCTGCCCAGCGCCCTCTCTCAATGGCTCGCCGACTTGGAGCATCAAAGTGCCATGACGCACTCGTATCACACACGGTCCAGAGGGGCACAGTGTCGCAGGTAGAGTGCGATGCTTCGTTCTACCATCCTTCTATCATGCTTGATAAGGCTATCTTGGTGGCTCTCCGCGCGACAGGGCTGTTCCTGTCCGAAGGCTGATCTCGAGAACATTCATTCGCTAGGGCATTGCTAGGGCAATTTCGAGTCCGGTTTACATCCCACCACCACAAAGCCACTGCGAGACATTGCCGTGTGAAACCCCGCCGACGAACTCTGCGATCTGCCGGGAAGGCCGGAGCTGCTCCGTCGATATCTTCCAGCTATCGTCTTGACTATTGGCTTATTGGCTCCCTCCCAGGTCGCGAGCAGCCATTTGCGGCGTAGCAGGTACCCGCAAATACTATCGTGACCAAGACGCGACCCGTCTGCGCAGCGCAATGTCTCGGGCATTGCGCATCAAGTCCGCTGCGCCATCCAACCCCAACCTGCATGCAAACACGTCCTGCATGTTTCAACATGGGGCTTTTTTCGGTCGTAAAGGATACATTGTCAAGTGTATCCTTCAAGGCGATGCGCTTGCCTGCTGATCTCTCTGCCACTCTAGCGCTTTATCATCCGGGGTCTTATGCAGCTGTGTCTTTGTTCGATGTCGGATCGTCGCCTCCACACTGGACGTTGGTGTGCGCGGTCAGTACATGTCTCACATGTGGTTCATACAGGGATACTACTTACACCGCAATCATACGCGTCGCCTATGTCTTCGCAGTTGAACTCCGGCTTCCCCAGCCGCTTGTTGACGATGTTGTGTACGTAGCAACCCCACATGGCAGCCGCTGTCCGTGACGAGACCTGGGGAGGATACTTGGCGAGTACTTGTCCGAAGTGCTCTGCGCATTCTCCGCTGAAATCCCAGTCAGCGCGTGACCTCTACATATTGAGCGCCGAGTAGTGTAAGACATACCAGGGGTATAGGCGTTGGAACAGGTGTACATATGACCGCAACGCCTCTTGCTCCTCGTCTGTAGGGCTTTCGGGGAAACGAGCGAAGGTTGTGTGTAGGACTTTCCACGCGGCGCGACCGAGTTCTGCCCTGCATTTGCTTGTCAGCCTGCCTCGTGTGATCTGTGTGGTGCCCGCGAAGGCCGTGATGCACGTACTTCGCCGTCGCATTCTCTAGTTTTGGCGCGATGGCATGTCCTGTGAGCACAGCTTCACTGGTACGGCCTAGTTTCTTCTCGGTCGACGGCGATGCTAGGTGTGCTGGTGTCACCTTGTAGGGTCCTACTAGAATGAATGAACAGAGGGCGAACACGACTAAGGCAAAGACGACGAATCTAGCCCGGAGGCCAGTAATGCGGATCATTGTAGAATAGGTATACTAGGTCTCTGAGAAGAGAAAGCGATGTGTTAAGGCGGTAGGAAGCGTTCCATGGTTCACTGTAGAATGTGAAAGGCTGCCATCCATGGCCACGCACGCGATGCCTCAGATAACGCCAAGCATTGGGGCTTCGCAGCATCACGCCCGAGTGGTCCCACCACGCGCGGGTAATCTGCAGGTACGTCTGCACGATCGAAGCTAGTTCGCATTGGAACAACATCGCCAGGGCTCTCCGCGATGGGAAATCTACAATTTGCGGGCGGGTGGGCTTTTGATATATTGCGACGGCTGCCGAGGGATATTACCGGGCTACGTCATCCGATATCGCAGTAGGGCTGAGCTTACTGAGCCTCCGAAAGCGTTCAAAACTTTGGAATCGCCAATTGACTGACCTGCATATTGACTCGCACTTCAGCACACGACACCCCAAACCACTTCAAATTCAACAGCAATGTCAGACTTTCCTCCTCCACCAGTCGACACCATTGGTATGTCAATTGCTACCCCGGTCGTCGGGACGTTCCACACGCCGCAAAGACCCGTGCTAATTCAACCGCAGACTGGAGTAACGTGGGCTTCAAGATCCGGGAAGGTAAGGCTTACCCTGCCGTAAATAACTTGAGTACTTGTCTGCGTTCAATTTTGGAATAGTAGGCAACCTTAGAAAGCCTACTTTTGCAGCGTTCTCACACCCCCACCACAGTCATCTAAAAAACCGCATTTGAATATCTCCTAACTTTGTAAAGTCGCTGGCCATGTTGAATCACACTACTCTAAGGAGACCGGAAAATGGACCCCTCCAGTCTTCGTCGAAGATCCATTCCTACGAATCCACGGTATGGCGCCGGGCCTGAATTACGGAATGCAGTGCTACGAGGGCATGAAAGCTTTCCGTGCGCCAAACAACACCATCAACATTTTCAGGCCCAACAAAAATGCCGAGAGAATGCAACACTCGGCATCCTTCATCTCCATCCCGGAGGTTCCAACAGACCATTTCCTCGCTTGCTGCAGTATGGCCGTGGGAATGAACGCGGCATACGTACCGCCCCATGAAACAGGCGCCGCAATGTACATCCGACCACTGCTCTTCGGTAGTTCGGCACAACTTGGCCTGAACCCACCCCAGGAGTACACCTTTGTAGTCTACTGTATCCCGACTGGTGTTTACCATGGCTCAAACCCAGTAGATGCGGTTATTCTTGAGGACTTTGACCGCGCCGCGCCAGAGGGCACTGGATCGGCAAAGGTCGGCGGCAACTATGCTCCAGTATTACGGCATAGTGAGAAGGCGTACAAGGCAGGCTATGGCATTACCCTGCATTTGGACAGCAAGACTAGGAGCGTTGTTGATGAGTTCTCGACATCTGCCTTCATTGGCGTAAAGAAGGACGGCGACAAGGTCAAACTCGTCGCATCCAACAGCAAGAACGTCATCCAGAGTGTCACAGGAGACAGTGTTCTCAGAATCGCCGAATCTTTTGGCTGGGAAGCTGAGTCTCGAGAGGTACTGCAAGCGTTCTGTCAATGCGTACGGTGAGCTAACAATTTCAGATCGCCTATGACGAACTCAAGTCCTTCGACGAGGTCCTTGCTGCTGGAACCGCGGCGGCTCTTGTGCCTATCAAATCCATCACCCTGCCTTCCAAGGACGACAAATTCACATACGCAGAGGCCCAGCAAGAACCAGGCCCAGCATGCAAGAAGCTTCTTTCGACCTTGAAGGGTATTCAGCAAGGGAAGATCGAGGACAAGCAGAGCTGGCTGTTCAAGGTAGAGAGGCCAGAGCAGTTCGGAAAGCAAGATCAGGCAAATGGTGCCAAGATAGTCGGACAACTGCCTTAGAAAGGTGTGTCAACCAAGGTTCAAGCGTGTACCATGTAAAAATCGCAAAAGTCTGAATGATTGCCACCATGGTTACAACCCGCCCCAGATTGACCTTTTAAATCTACATGAAGGAATTGTGAACAGTGTGAGACTGAACAAAACAAACGTGGATTACAAGTCCGCTTTTGCTTTGTCCTATACTTAGACGTGACTGTTACAGCCCAAACACCCGACAGCAAGACGACGTGCTTGAAACGAAGAAGACGATCATAACACCGGAAACGCGGAGCTTGCAACGGCGATATCTCGCGTTAAAGGTGTTGGTGCCCCAGGAGTATAAGTGCCGAGGCGGCCAGAACTATTTCCTCGACACCCCCACGCAGTCTAGCCCCATACGCATACGTCATCCCTGCTTTTCACCCGCAGAACCCACCTGCATCTGCATCATTCGAGCGCGCGTCTACCCAGCAGTGCAACGAGACAGACACCCGACATCCCTACCCTTTCGCATACCCACGAGGCCCGCACCCTTGATTAGCCCTTCGGCAGTTACCGCCTCGCACAGAATAACTGGCACGCCGGTGCCACACGATCCATCCCTAGAGTCACATCGCAACCGGGTGCAACATGCCTGGATCGTTTTCGAGGATTCGCGACAAGGCGAGGCGCCACTTGGGTGATCCTAGTCCGGATGAGGCCTATCTTTCTTGTGAGTCTGCATCGAGAGAGTGCAAGAGGGTGAAGACTGACTGAGAGTAGATCACGATGTGAGGGGTGTGTACGCGTCGCCTATTCCTTGACTTGCGCTTCCATGCGCTTTTGACTAATCAACGAACATACTGACGACTACAGTGACGCGAGCCGACTTGGACAGTATCAAGTCCAATGACTGGCTTACGGACAATGTGCGCATACCACTTCCTCCCAATCCACCGCAGTCATGACTAACGCATCAACAGGCAATCGCCTTCTGGCAAGAATACCTCGAGCGCGAAGAGCTCAACGCCTTTCCCAAGGCCTCCATCGTCCTCCTCCGCCCCTCCATGTCCTACATGCTCATGCAAAGCGCCGAACCCCTCTCCCTCAAAGAAGTCCTCCCCAACTTCAGCCACACAACCCACGTCTTCCTGCCGATAAATGACAACACCGATGTCACACAAGCCGAAGGTGGCTCGCACTGGTCCCTCCTCCTCGTTTCCATCATCGACGGCGTGTCCTTCCACTACGACTCCATGACCCAGTCCAACGAGCGGGAAGCGCGGAGTACAACTATGAAGCTGGAACAACTGTTGGGCAAACGACTGCGGTTTATCCCTATGAATGATAGTCCGCAGCAAGAGAACGGCAGCGACTGCGGCGTCTTCGTTTGTGTGCTCATGCGGCATTTACTGCTTAAGAGGCTGCTTCGGGCCGATGCGAGCAAGAAGGTTAGCATGAGCATGCGGGATGCACACATCAACGCGAAGGATGGACGGAGAACTATGCTCAAAGTCATCGAGGAGAGGAGAGACGAGGGCAAGCGGAGACGCTCGTAAGTCTCTCATACTTGAGGACTACAGAGGAGAAGCTAACATTTGTGCAGAGGAAGCCACTCGCCGTTTAGGAACCCCTCCGCCCACTCCAAGAGCCCGCCACGTATAGGCGACGAACAGTCACAGGAGCGTTAGTACCCGCTGTGATTTGTATCGAAGGGATTTCCTGGCCGAGCCCTATGCGATGGAGATTAAGAACACGGACTCGTTCTCCTGTGTGAACGTAGCACTGCATACACCGCATCCCCGGTTATAACTACGTGAGCGAGCGTAGGATACCCCTTACTCGGGACACGGACCGAATGGGGTCATGAATTACGATTTACGTGTTTTATGTTTACGCAAATATACGAACTGCTGGCATCAGCACTGGAGTTGATAGTATTAATGGAACACGCATCTTAACATCTCTATATCGCGAATTGGGCTAGGAATATATGCGCATTCGAGCCTATGTGCATGTCTAGTCTACGACAGATACCACTAAACAACGTGATAGCGCCACTCATGCATATACAAACGTATCCAGACGCTTGCTTCCAGATCCTAGACCCCATAAAACGATAGATGCGCGCTCTATAAAATCCCACAAAGTGCTTTATCCGAATCAACACGTCTAAGTCGTCTTGTCTTCTGCCTTGGTTTCCACCGGTTTAGCTTCGCCCTTGGGCACAAGATTACCATTGTCGTCCCGCGGTATACGTTCCCAGCCCGTCTTGAACCTCTTCTTGCTTGCGTCGAAGCGAGGCAACGGATGGGCCTCAGTATTCAGAACGATTTGATCGAGAGGGAGGAGATCATCGGGAGAGAAGAGGAGGTACATGTATTTGAGCGTCTCGGCCTGCATGAATGTGTTAGTAAACCAATCCAATGGTTTTGAAAATATGGAAACGAAGGGGAAAAGGAACTTACAAGCCAGAAACTCTCCATGTTGTCTCGCGACGGAGGAGGCACCTTCGTCACATCACCGATACTAGAGAACCCGCCATTGTCCTCTACGATAGTGTGCTTGACGAAAGCTTCAAACATATCCCAGCCCCATTCCCGGTAGATGTCATCACCGGTTATGCGCCACATGTACAGGAGCGACTCTACAGTCTCTGGTCGCTGGAGGTTATGCGTATCAGCTGGCTTGAGGTCGAAATCGCTCTTCCAGCCCTCGCTGTCGGGAACACTGGTGTCGAGCTCGGATTTGGACGCGAGGATCTCGGTGCGGTACATCTTGGGCGGGTCGTCGAGCTGGAAGTAGGCGATTTCAGGGGCGAGACCTGTGGCGGTTACTTTGTACATGCCCATGCATGTTTTTGTGAGTTCGCGGGCGAGGGTAATGTCTTCTTCTTGTGCTTTGCCCCAGGTAGGTAATTTGCGCGCGTCGGCGAGAGGGATGCCACCGGTTGCAGCGAGGGCGATGGTACCGGGTAGGAAACAGACGAGGTGGTCCATCTTGGGGTGAAGTTTGCCTTCGATTCCGCTTGGTCGCTCTGCTAGGACGGTGAAGTGGCTGTTCTTCGTGTATGTGAGGAGATGCTTCTTTGCGCCGTTTAGCGACTCGTTCCACATCTCTTGGTAGACTGGCTCTTGCTTCTGGGTTTGCAGGTACTGCTTGATGAGGTATTCGTAGTAGCTGTCCCCGCGACTACCCCATCGGATCTCGCTTCCGCGGAAGGTGCCTTTGTCTGCGTAGATGAAAATGGGCAGGAGACCGTCTTTGGCACCGTTGTCGTCCACGACTTTCATTACTTTCTCAGCCACATCCCAGTAGTGTGCCTCACCGGTGAGGAACGCTAGGTATTTCATCTCGAGTTGGAGGGTGGTTGCTTCGGCTGTGGAGGACGCACCGCCGTCGGCGTGCGAGGCTTCCCCTTTGGCATCGCGGAGGATAACGCTAGCCCAAGGCACACCCGAAGGTGACTCGTATGCGCCCATAAGACGATCAGCCAGGTCGGTAGCTTTCTCCAGGAAGAGGTCCTCCTCGTTCGAGTTCTCAGGCTTCAGGCCTGGAAGTGTCTCCTGCAAGTAGTGTGCAGACAGCAGACCACCAAGCATGCGTATAGTTGTTTCGAAGGTATTGACATCCTGCTTCTTGTCGTAGTCGAGACTCGTCGAAATCCATTGCCGTGCGTGAGTGAGTTCCTTGGTGAGATTCATGATCATGAGAGTATCGAGTGCGTCCACGATGATCCAGCCCAGACCGTTGGGCTCAGCCATGTATCGACCCTTCTTCGAAACGGGGTGGTACTCGTCATAGCCCCAGCCATGCTCCTCGTACGCGTTCCAACTCAGTAGGAAGGCGTCTTTGACTGCTTGTCTCCGCTTCTCCCAGTCAACTTTGCTCTTCTTTCCGGCAGCACTTCCACCTATATTTGACAACAAGCTCTTGCCCCTATCCTTCTCGTCTTGTACTGTGCCCACGTTTGTGCCACCACTAGACCATCCGAACCAGTAGAACAGCCCCAGCACTACCAGTGCTATCAGCGACATGCCCCTCTTACTCCGCAGGAAGCCTTTCCTTCCCCTCGCACCACCGCCATATCCATAGCTTTTCCCCGAAGGCTTGTCCTTATACATTGGCAAGCCCTTTTCGTTCCCCGGTAGTTTGTTCCAAACATTATCTTCAAACTTTCGTTGCGCGCTCTCGAAATTGGGTACGTTGCGCGGGATGGCGAAGGACATATCTGAGTCCTGGATCGCCTGTTTCGTGGCCTCGACTGCCTGCTTGGTCGATTCGACGGCTTGCGAGGCTTTCTTGTTGGCGGCGTTCTGGAGGACGGCGAAGGCGGAGGGTGTCTTGAATGCTGTTTTGCTGCGGAGGTTGAACGGGTCGCGTGTCGAGTTCATGAGGCGGCGCGACGCGTACTGCTGATTAAACAATAGACCAGGCGGAGCGAGTGTATTTCACCCTTGCGAAGTCTGATAACTTGACATCCTGCTCCAGACTCCAGTCGACTTGGGAAGCAACGCTCAAAGCGCCCTCTGTCTGACTCGCCAGGTGTTCATTGCTCATCCCCAATGCAGATAGCTTGGCTAGACAGGGGTCCCGCATCTCAGGAATCATCAGCCACAGCGGAGTTCAATGGGGAAGCTCCACCTTCAACCCTCAGCCTCGTTGCGACTCGCAAGCATCGCTCTTCCTTGTGGTACAGGTAGGACACGCGTACTCAGGCACAGGCACAGTATAGCCTCCTTCCGCAACCAAATATATCTCAGCACGATGAGGCATATCAACAGCAGCTGCGATGCGGCAATGTGTTTCCAGAAGTACTCGAGCATTGTTCTTATGATCACCGCCCACCCTGCAGTATTTACGATTACCGCGTCTTGTCGTCATTGCTATCTACGCGTTACGTGATGGCGTTCTACACCAAGGACGAGATGCGCTTCCTGTTCTTTGCTCTCTTTTCCTGCCTACCCTTACACCGTTGCTTTCGCATTGCTCGCACACCTTCCCCTCTAGTACATAGAACCGAGACGCCTAGCATCGGAAAGTCACAATCAAGAGTGCATCTACGGAAGAGCAAGACGAAGCGATACGATTCTTCATCTACCATAACCATCTCACCAACCGAAACGCAATGTCAGGCGCAAGCATGAAGCGCATTCAAATTACACCAGACGGCTCGGGTCCACCTACGAAACTCGACACCGATGTTCCCACCTCTCTACCCGACGCCAAAGAGACCAAGATCCACCCTCAGAACGCCCCAGACGCTTCAACGAATGCCTCCCTGTTCTTCGTTGGAACTGCCACCACAATCCTAGAATGGGAAGGCATCCGCATTCTCACTGATCCCAACTTCCTACATGCTGGCGATCACGTTCACCTGGGACCGGGCGTTGGTGCGACGAGGCAGACCAATCCCGCCATCGATTTGGAAGAGCTACCGAGAATCGATGTGATTTTGCTGTCGCACTACCATGAAGACCACTTCGACCGAGAAGTAGAGGAGAAACTGTCCAAGGGACTCCCGATCATCACTACACCACATGCCAAGGAATGCTTGACAGGCAAAGGCGAAGAGTCGTTCAAGAATGTGCATGCGCTAGACTTCTGGAACAGCTTGCTCCTAGATGTATCGCAGTCTGACCAACCAAAAAAAAGTGGTCCGAAGCCTAGCATCAAAGTCACAGGTGTGCCGGGAAAGCATGTTCCTCCAGGTCCACTGAACGTCGCGAACGATATCCTCGGCGCCGTACCACCTACAAATGGCTGGATGGTCGAACTGGGGTACTCGAATGGTTCTTCTAGCGACGGCAGCGATTTCGAGAACGGATACAGGATCTACATCTCCGGCGACACGCTAATGGTGGACGAGCTCAAGGAGATTCCTGAGCGATACAAGGGCCAGAACATCGACCTGATGCTGGTCCACTTGGGAGGCACCACAATTCCTGGGCCTAAGATGCCTTTGCTGATGGTCACGATGGATGCCGAGCAGGGTGTACAGCTCATGCAGCTCATCAATCCCGACCTGACGATTCCAATCCATTACGACGATTACGATGTGTTCCTGAGCCCGCTGGATGATTTCAAGAAGGCGGTACACGCGGCGGGTCTGGATAGCAAGGTCGTGTATCTGGACCGCAAGGATCAGTACAAGTTCAACGTGAAGCAAGGACAGAAGCCGAAGCAATCGCTGTATTAGTAGCCCTATCGGTAGTGACTCTGTAACTAGCTGTTCAGCAAAATTGACCATGATACATGATGATTCTTGGTGCACGTCGGAAACAGGCTGTGGTGTTCGGAATGAAGTTTGACTTTTTTCATTCCTGGTGGTAACCCAGTGTAAAGGGTTCCGTGATGCCATTGAACAAAATTTATCCGTTGAGACGCCGTCCGCCCATGCCTTCGTGCTTCGTGCGCATCGTGCGTTGATGTCCTTGCACACTTCTGTCCTCAGTCCCTCATGCGTTCGATCCGTTTATGCGTGCTTGCCCTTGGGGTTCTTCTTGCCAACGTCGGTGATGGTAAGACCTGCGGTTGTTAGATGCGTGTCATTGGCGCTGGAGTGTTGGGGATGTGCGTACCCGGGGGCAGACTCTGCTTGAGCTTCTCGGCCTTGTCGGTGTCCTTAAGAACGAGGGTGTAGACGTTTGTTGAGCATCGGACCTTGAACTTGATGTTGTTGACCTTCTTGTTCTTCTTTATGCGGGCGGCTACAGTACTGTCAGTCTAGTGCTCTCATCACGTTCGCTGCCTCGATCGTCGCAGGTCTGCGGCTCGCATTCATCGTGCACAATTCCTCCTCCTACTGCGACCGCACCTTTCCCCCGGCGGAAGTGGTAGACGTACACTTGGCATCCTTGCGCCTGCAGATCTCGATGAACTGCTTGATGTCGGAAACTTCGGAAGGCATCTTGACGATTTGTGTGTGGACGGGTCGTTGGAGTTCGGGATCGTGAAGTTCGGAGACGCCTAGGCACAGGCCAAAAATGCTGTGGACTCGCTTGAAACGCACGGGCTGCGAAGGGGCTGCCCGCAAGCGTTGCTGCTTTGGGCCTGGTGGGGTGACGACGAGTGTGGCGTAAACCAGGAACGCCATGGCTGCGTCGCATGAAACAGTGCTGCCTACGACCCTATAACTGCTGCAATTCTTATCGAAACTTGTCAAACTCATAACCTCATCTCGCACGCTGACGAAAGACCTTGAGCTCCTTTTCACACACGCACATACGACCAACTTCCACCCTTCAGCATGCCGACCCCCATCGATCGCGCGGTGCAACAACGTGTAGGTTACTCATGGCTCTCCTGGCATCTGCTTTACATAGTGGGCCTTCTACACGCCACTGCAGCCGTATGCTAAGATTATGTAGGGCCCGTTCTTCGCTTTTGCTGCAGTCGTCGCTGGTGTAGCAGCATGGAGTATCTGGGGACAAGACATCTTCCCTAGTCAAGACCCTACTGGCGGTAAGTTACTCCATAGCAACATATCAACATGGGAACTTACTGACATTAATAAAGATCCAGAAACATGGACACACGATCAATGTGTTACCTGGCTCAAGCACGTAAGTTATCTAAAGCCTCGGTGTGACGAAGGACACATGATAGTTTGGCTACCTTCCAGCGATGAATGCCTTCTTCACACTGACGTACACGCCGTTGGTCTTCTTTATGCTAACGCAACATCAGAGAAATTTACACCCCTCCCCTGTCGCAACAACCGCTGAGCTATTAGAGCGGATCAAGGCGAATATGAGGGTAGCCAGGGAACGGACACCAGGTCAATAAGCATGTGTAGTCCAAGATGTCTATCCAATCCAAATAAATTGCAGGCTTAGTTACAAACTTCCCTCATATCGAGAGACCCTTGACTCATGAGCCAGATTGAAAGTCGACTAAGCATCCCCTCATAACTCCTGCAGAACACCTTGGTAGTCGCCTGGCTGAGCCATTGCTCACCGATTGAACACCAAATCAACCCCGACTACCTCCAGGCCTCACCATATTTTCCCCTCCATAACTCCTGCAAAACACCTTGGTAGTCGCCTCGCTGAGCCGTTGCTCACCGATTGAACGTCAAATCAACCTCGAATATCTCCAGGCCTCATCGTATTTCTCGCCAAGTAACTCCTGCAGAATACCACGGTAGTCGTCTGGCTGAGCCATCGTCCATCCGTCCAAAGCATAAAAAATCTTGACTTCCTCCCGGGCTCACCATATCGCATCAACGCCGTACTCCTTCCAACACTTTTTTTGGCCCATTTCGTTACTTCAGCCTCATACTAGTTGCCACCATCCGCCTTCTTGAACTCCTGCAGAACCTCAACACTAGCGCTATAGTGCTCTGCTTCCTCATTGTACGCGCTCTCCTCCTCCATCATCGCTTCGTTGAGACGGTCCAGCTCCTCCGCCATTCGCTGCTTGTAGGGTCCCATCTGCTCATCGATCTCTGCCTGCTTCTTAGCGGTCTCCGCACGCCTCTTGCGCATGTCCTCGAGTTTCTTTCGCTGGTCTGCGAGCTGTCGTTCGATCGAAAGCGTCTTGGGTGTAGAGGAGCGCGGTACTACAGGCTGGGCGATAGGTAACGTAGGCGTAGGCGTAGGCATCGTACGCTTTGGCTCTGGTGGTGTTATACCGTTGGTGGTGGTAGATGAACGTTTGGCTGGTATGACTGCTACGGGGGGCGTATCCGACTTCTTCTGACCGCTGGTAGTGTTGGTAGTGGCAGGTGCTGGTTTTGCGGCCTCCTTCTGTGCTGGAGTACTGGGCGTTTGCGGACTCTTCTTTGCTGGGTCAAGTGGCGACGGGGAAGGCTTATTGGTAGTCGCCTTGGCTACGGCTACAGATTTCTCTGCGTGCGCATTTGCGGGCTTGGTGCTTGATTCTGGAAGGCAGGGTACTTTCGCAGTCATATCGGCCGTCGGTATAGAAGGCGCTTCGGGGGTCGCAGTCTGTGCTTGATCTTTAGGGGATGACATCGTGGTAGCCTCGGAGGGATTTGGTGGAGGTCCAGGTTTCTTGATGGGGCAGGATATCTATAGGTAGATGTCAGGAGCAGGCAACAATCAGGCTGATTTGAGAATTTGAAGTGACGCAGAGATAGAACTGTAGAAAGGTAAAGTTGGGAAACCGTTTCTCTTACCTTTGGTATCGGCTGTGCGCTTTTTGCTGGCGTGGTGGGAAGCATCGGCGATTCCGATCGCGACGAGGCGTCTCCGTCATTCTTCGATAAGGGCTTTGCGCCTATGGTAAGAGGAGGAAGAGGTTCCAGCACTAGAGTATGTGCTTCGCCTATATCTTTGTCGTCAGGGTCAAAACCCATTGACATGTTCTCCTTGAGAATTTCAGCTAAGATATCACGTTAGCCTGATAGCCAGAATCCAGTCTAGCAAGCTAACCTTCAGTTCGATAGTGGAAGCGAAATATAGCCCACGGCTCTGTACCTGGGCGTTTCGCATCCGCCCTACGCTGGTAGGTTTTCGGTTGATTATCCTCCAGTGGAGTAGTGTCCTTTTCGAAGGACATCCTGAAAATGGGAGCTATGCGGTTGTAGCCTACTTTCCGCTCGATACCACCCGTATCCCTGTCTTTCATATCACCTTGATGGGCGTAGTACTTCTTTACTTTGCCAATCTCGTGCCAGTCTCCCAGTTGGCGGGTGATGTACAGTCGCAGCTCGATGGTTCCGATTGTCTCCGCGGCGTCATCTTGAACAGTAGCAGCATGCTCAAGTGGAGCCACCGTGATAGTAGTATCGATGATCCCTTTTGGGGTCTTGTATAGGAAGGTTTCGGTGTCCAGTTTCCTATTGTGTAGGATCACTGACTTAGCCACATGGGAGCCGACTTTGCGGAGTATCCCATCCACAAACGTGTCGTAAGCTATAGCCAAAGTCTGTGATTTTGTCAGAAACTTCTGATGAGTTTATGTAAGTGATAGTTACCTTGCCGGAGAACCTGCCGCCCACTTTAGGCTGATGACCCTCATCAATGGGTACATAACAGCATATCGCGTTGTCTCTCGGGTCCACGTACTCTCCATATTCCTGGAGAGCCTGAACCCGACCCTTGACATAGATGTTGACCTGGGCCTTTCTGTCGGTGTCCTTCTCAACCACTCTCATATTTGAGAATGTTGTGTAAGACGTGAATTCAGAGTAGTTAAGACGTGTTTGGTGAAGAGTCGGTGATTTCCCTCGCGTGAGCCCAGAGTGAATCAGTGATCAATGCGAATGGGCTGCTCGATTGAGTAGTGCGGAGGTCGTTATCGTACTATATGTGACGCGAGCTAGTTGAGTACGTTCGTGAGAATTGGCAGAAGACGTGTCTATGCGGCAAACTGGATCGATGCTCGCCGACAGAGTCTCATATGAGTAGTACTGACAGCGCGGAAGGTCGAGGATACCTGGCGGTATGCGCGCTTTCGCCGCTGCCTGACGCGCTTTGGGGCTTCGGTAGTCGCGTGCCTGCTGTTTTGGGCCACTAGGGGCAGCGTGAGCCTGGAGAAGAAAGCTTGGTATGAGACCGAAGATAATAGAAGATATCCGAGATGGGAAGGGGTGAAGAGAGAGGAAGAGGGTGCGTCTTAAAGATTGGAAGACGTGATGAAGACGGCAGAGTGGCGAGGTGAAGGTGAGAATAGTCAGTTGGGTGACACATGCCAGAGAAACGCTGTGATGCCAGGGACTGCCACGTCTGCCAAAGCATAAGTGAGAGTCACCTTAGGAGCGCTCATATACTCAGACGAACGTGCCGGCTGATGTAACTAGACCAACTCGTAGAACGCATCAAATCTAGACTGCTCTACGGAGCAGCACGTCTCCAAGAGTCCAAATGGTACATTATTTGTAAGAGCAACTGGACATGATTCCCTCTTTTGCTCTCAAAGTAGACTGTCATAACCAACCTGTGGGCTCTGCCACCCTTGTAGAATGATATGAAGAGGACATTTAGCATACTATGGGAAGATCACGTTAACGGGCCATTGTACACTGACCCTGTGAGCGTGAGATTTTCCATCGCCGCTTATCAGATGAATTCTGTTGTAACATGCGACTCGTTGCCCATGCGATCACATGCAAATGGAGCTGTGATGAATTAGGCAGGCACTGCGACTGTGAAAATGGAAAGAAACATCCGAAGTACAACAGCTGCGAAAACAGAAAGAAGCAATTATCGGAACGAGTGAAAGAATCCATGGATGGTGCCCTGCGTCGGAGATAATAGAGAGAGCGAGCCGCGGCGGAAGGACGGATGTGGTCATTCGCCAAGCGCGGTTTCTTCCTTCGGTTCGGATGCATTTTCGGGGGACGGCAGCTTCAGCTTGTTTCTCTCCACCTCAAATCCCTCACCACCAGCCCAACGCCGCAACTCCACCATGTTGTCGAGGACCTCCCAAAGAACAGCGCAGGTACGAGCAAGACGATGCGCCCGCAATTGGCGGGCGCGGTGGGAATTCGAGTGCTAATGCGCCTGTGCAGACGCTCCTGCGGGGCGCGAAGCCTGCCTCCCGATGGGCACCCGCCATGGCTACCCGCTGTACGGATACCACGTAAAAGATATTCAAAAATGCAGAGTCTAACGCGGCGACAGCAATGGCCACGGTCACCCAGGACATCTTCAAGCCCACCAAGTTCGGCGGCAAATACACTGTTACCTTGATCCCTGGTATGCGCGATAGCCGCCTATAAATGGATATAGATTCTGAACATGCGCAGGTGACGGTATCGGTGCTGAGGTCTCCGAGTCGGTCAAGGAGATCTTCAAGGCGGACAATGTTCCCATTGAGTGGGAGCAGGTCGACGTCTCTGGTGTCGACTCTGGCAACGTCCACTCCGAGGAGCTCCTCCGCGAGTCCATTGCCTCGCTCAAGCGCAACAAGCTCGGTCTCAAGGGTATCCTCCACACGCCCGTCGAGCGCTCCGGCCACCGTTCCTTCAACGTTGCTCTCCGTCAAGAGCTCGACATCTACGCCTCCATCGTCCTCCTCAAGAACATCCCCGGTTACGAGACGCGCCACAAGGACATCGACTTCTGCATCATCCGTGAGAACACCGAGGGTGAATACTCTGGTCTCGAGCACCAGTCGGTCAACGGCGTCGTCGAGTCGCTCAAGATCATCACCCGTGAGAAGTCGGAGCGCATCGCCAAGTTTGCGTTCGCCTTTGCGCTCGCCAACAACCGCAAGAAGGTTACCTGCATCCACAAGGCCAATATCATGAAGCTCGCCGATGGTCTGTTCCGCAACACCGTCAAGAGGGTTGGTGAGGACTACCCCACTCTCGAGACCAACGACATGATTGTCGACAACGCCTCCATGCAGTGTGTCTCAAGGCCCCAGCAATTCGACGTCATGGTCATGCCCAACTTGTACGGAGGTATCCTTTCCAACATCGGTGCTGGTCTCGTTGGTGGTCCTGGTATCGTTCCTGGTTGCAACATGGGCCGCAACGTCGCCGTTTTCGAGCCTGGATGCCGTCACGTCGGTCTCGACATCAAGGGCAAGGACCAGGCCAACCCCACTGCTCTGATCCTGTCCGCCGCCATGATGCTCCGTCACATTGGTCTCGATGACCACGCCAACCGCATCTCGCAGTCCGTCTACAAGGTCATTGCTGACGGGTAAGTTTGATTTCCATTTGAAGAGCAACATACGTCTAACATCGTGTAGTACCGCCCGCACACGCGACATGGGAGGCAACACCACCACCCACGAGTTCACCCGCGCAGTCCTGAACCAGATGGAGAAGGCATGATTTAGCCATCATGATCTTCGTGTTTGCTAAGCTTTGATCTAGCGCGATGATACCGTCACATCTAGGCCTCGGCTCACATTGGGTTAACCTAGGATATGGAGCAATAACATATTTTCTTAACGATTGGACGCAATGGCACTTGTACAACTACCAGCTGGAATGTGAATAGAGCTGTACTTGTAGGTGGTATATAGCATGCTGCATGATTGAATTGACCATTCTTATACCCTCGTGAAAATGCCAGACCCAGAACTCCGTGCTATGCGTAACATCGTCATCGTGATGTGGGTATATCTAGAATTGGATCCTCCTCTTCCTGCCAGTGTACTTGGACGAGGCCTTGACGACCTTGCCTTGTCTCTCCATCTGCTCCTTCTTCTTCATGATGTATGCCTTGCTGCCTTTGCGCTCCTCGCCCCTCTTCATGCCCTTGGCTTTTCTCCGTGCATCCTCGACGTCGACGCCGTCCATGCCCCTCACAACACCTGTGATGTCCCCATCCAGCGCGCCACCACCCACGGTCAGAACAAGATACGTCTTCGCGCTCTTAGTCCCCATATCATCCTCCAAAAGACCCGCACCGAAACCAGCCTTGATCGCCGCCTGCGCCACCATCTTCTTCTGCGCATCGTTCTTGGGGTAGAACTGACAAACCGCCCTCCCTCCCCTCTTCAAACTCGCATAAAGCTGGTTAAAGAACCTCGATAACCTGCCCGCAGGACTCTCCTCGCTCGTCTCAGCATTACACAGCCATTGAACCGCACTGATGCTAATCGCCGCATCGAAAGTTCCCGGCCTGAACGGCACACCCTGCCCCGCGTCTGCCAGCAGCAAATCTCCTTCTACCTCTTTCTCCAGCGCAACGCCCAGCATGGATGCGCTGATGTCGAAACCAATCCATACGTGAGGGCCACCGGGTGTGCCTTGTTCAGCGGAATGCGACAGGATTTCGCCGCTGAGACCGGAGCCGCAGCCGACGTCGAGGATCATGGATGGCGAGGTGAGCGCGAGGAGGGAGAGGGCGCGGTGGGTCATTGTGGATTGGATCTTTTGGATGCGAGAGGAGGTGGTGTATTTGCGCGATTCGGAGTCATTGTAGAAGAGGTCGGGCGGTCTGCTGAAGTGTAAGCGTCGTGTTCTTCGTTATGCGATTTGCGATGTTGGGAGAATTGCGTACAGGATGTCTTCGGGGCGCGACATGATTGCGGTTGTTAACTCTGAATCGCTGGACAAACGACAGTAGTACTCTTGTTATCGCGTGGAAATATGAGACTTGTTTGCGCAGTGATTGTCGAAAGCGAGCGTGGACTGTCAGTTGCTCGACGCACCTTCAGCCAAGAGTTCGCACGACTTTTTGGAGTTGGACCCCACACTCTGGCGCGGGTCCACGGGTTTCTCCGCTAGCCTTGATGCCACCTTTGGACTGACCTCATCGTGCCGCGGCCAAACTTCCAGCCTTCCACACTTCATCTCTCTTCGCATTCCCCTGAAGTGTGCCAAAAGTCAACATGTGGATATTACCGCTGCTTGGATATGTCGGCGTTATCCTGGGCTTCGCGTTCCTGACGCTTGCGATAGGTACTTTGCTGTGATGCTCTCGGTCTTTGGCTTCATGGGGCTAACGCAACGTAGCTTCCGGCCTGTACTACCTTTCTGAACTCGTCGAGGAGCATACCGTCTTCGCCAAGAAACTGCTATATCGACTCATTTATGGCGTCGTTGGCATACAAACACTCCTTCTCGTAGTCGATAGGTTTCCAATTGGGCTCAGCGCATTGAGTGTCGGGTCGCATTTCATCTATGCGCAGAACCTAAGGCGGTTCCCTATCGTCAAGCTCACGGATCCACTCTTCTTGGCCTCTTGTGGTATGCTATGATGCTTGGGAGTCTCTACCGGCGTAATGCTGACCATCCTTCCCAGCTCTTGTAATTGCGAACCACTACCTGTGGTTCCGCCACTTCAGTGCTCCGCCGGCGAACTCGTACTCCTCGTATCCCTATTCTCGCGATGCCAACATCCCCACCTTCACCGAAATCGCATCCTACTTCGGCCTCTGCGTGTGGCTAGTACCTTTCGCGTTGTTCGTCTCCTTGTCTGCCGGCGAGAATGTCCTCCCCTCGATGGGCTCAGAGTACGCGACCGGAGATGGTAGCAGCTACATCACGCCAGGAACAGCACCAGCATCATTCGGAACCGGAACAGGCATTGGCGTCGGTGGAGCCAGTAGTGGCATGGAAGGGAAGAGGAGGGCGAGAAGTGGAACAAACGCTGGCATGGCAAAGGCTG